GCAAATGATGGTTACATTAATGAACAGGACATTAAAAGAAAAGGGAATGAAAGTGAACGCAAGTAAGACGAAAGTTATGGTTTTTGAAAGATAAGAAAGTAAAACGATATGTGAAATAAGAATAGAAGGGGAGTTGGTAAAGCAAATAGATGAGTTTGTATATTTGGGATGTGTGTTTAGCAGGGATGGTAGATATGATAAGAATATAGAACGACGAGTGAATGCAGGAAATAGAGTGAATGGGGCTCTACACTCTATTGTGAAAAGTCAGAATGTGTCCAAAAAGGCACGTATGGCAATTCACAATGCTGTGTTAGTACCTACTTTAATGTATGGTAGTGAAAGTTGGGTGTGGCAGAAGAAGCATGAGAGTAGAATAAATGCTGTATAAATGCGGTCATTAAGGAGTATGTTAGGGATGAAGCTGAATGACAGAGTGAGAAATTGTTTAATAAGAGAAGATTGTGGTTTGCAAGATGATATTTTGACCAGGATTAAGAAAGGAATGCTTCGGTGGTTTGGCCATGTAGAAAGAATGAATGAGGAAAGAGTGATAAAGCAAATTTATGTTGCAGAGGTGAACGGCATAGTCGGGAAGGGTCGCCCTAGGCGAAAGTTTATCGACCAAATTGGCGATATATTAAAAATGGGCCAAATCAAGAGTACCTTTAACCGACGAGCGTGTATGCGTAGGTATATGGATGTGGAGGAAGCGAGAGGTGTGTCAGGATCGTGCCAAATGGAAGTCCATAATCTCTGCCTACCCCTCTGGGTGACAGGCGTGAGTGTTTATGCTAATTACGTAATAACTTATGACAGAAGGACTCTTAAGTAGGAAGTGAATAAATTAACCGACTTGGTATTACAACTTTTTACGGTAGAAGAATTGAGTTGCGAGACTTGGTTTTTTTTACAAGTTATGTTTTTGATGGCATTTTGTTTTCTCAGATTTGAAGTTCCACACAACATTTTCTAAACAAATATACACAGATAGAGTAAAACATTCTTTTTCTGATAAATCAAGTCGATAACATTTGTTTCTACTGTTAACATAGGGGCAGTGACATTGTCATGTTGCGGTGATGGTGTATTAAAATACGAAAATCGTCTGGTTTCATAAGTAACATATCGAAATCACATTTAAATTTAGTATTTTGAGGTTTCCCTAAGATATTGGTTATAAACATCTTATTGAAGGCAATTTTAACTAGACGATATGTTGGTTCCTAGTAGTAACCACACGTCTGTATGACTTTTCCAAAGAAATTTTCGAGACAATCTTGATTGAGATGTCTCGTAAATATAAATTAATTTAATTTCATCTGATTTTAATTCTTCATGAAGTTTTATTAAATATTTTATAGACAGTTGAAATCCGTGAATGAAATTCATGTTATTTGTAACGTTTTCCTGCCTATTACTTCTTATTGATTATAAGGTTCTGAAAAATGTGACCATTTCTTCTAAAAACGCAATTTGATAACTATAGCATCGAAAAGCTCTTTTATATTTATTAGGGGATCGCACTGTACTTGTGCTTAAGAAGTCAAAGAAATTATTAATTTTATATACAAAATCAGCGGTACCTCTTGCGACAACCTCGATAAGATTTAAGTCTACGTAAACCATTTTTACACTTGTTTATATTTCATTTGATACGAATTATTATTTAAAAAAGAAAATGTGGGATAGTAAATCCAATCCGCCCCTAGTAATATTTCTACCTATTGGGGTGTATGAAAGTCGGGATTTCAACTCATTAAGTCGGGTTTTTAACTCATTCCGGGAGTGTGTGTAATAAACAGTGACATGGGGAAAAGCCATATAAGGTACCTTGGTCACAGATAATAAATAAAATGTGGGATAGTAAATTCGCTCCTAGTTATATTTCTACCTATTGGGGTGTATGAAAGTCGGGTTCAGATAAGTTTAAATTTTTTAAATGTGAGCAACCTGTAAAGGACAGTGGTACGTTGGGCATTTTTGTAACTAATTTTGGCAAAATGCAACTACAGGTACAACGGGCTGCTGTTTATCTTTTGGAGAGCTCCGTAAGAGGCAGTGTTACAGCACGATCAGCCGCCGCCGTTTCGCTAATAACTGAAAACAATTCCGTTGAAAAATGATTTAAAGTATAATGTCGTTTATAACACGAACGGCAAAGGAAATTTGATTTAAAATTGTGAAAGTCATGTCCAACGTATAAGCAATTAAACAAATGTTTTTATTTTGCAAGAATGAATATCTATTTTGTGGAGAAAGATTTAGAAACTGAACATTTAGTTAATATATGTTGACCGTTGCAATGTAAACAAGTTCTGACCTTATTACCATCACTCTTAAATCGAGACTGTTCTAAATTAAGGTTAGTAATCAATTAGCGTCGAGTCATAGGCACCGTACCGTCGCTTGCGTTGTTCCCCCATCCCGAGAATTTTAATGAACTACCCACATTCGCCGATCGTTTCTTGGTGGAATGTACCTTTCAAATAGTAGAAATACTTATGTTGTTAGCAGAAATTTCCCGTTCGAGAAAAGAAATTAATGTGCATATGTTTGGAATTTCAAATGGCTTACTCAATGCACGTTCGAATGTTCTACTAATAGTGAACGGAATTTTACGCAACAAAATATTTAATAGTATAAAACTACATTGAGCTATTGGAAAATTCATAACTTCAAGCGCCTTGATATTCTCTTGATATATATTTAGTAAATTTCGCACACTATGACTTAACCTATCGGAACATGTTTCAATATCGAGAATTTTATCAAGATGTTTTGATGCAAGAATTATTTTATTATCGTTAACGATTACGTTACACTAAAATATCTAAGACTACATAGTAATTTTCATCGGTGATAAGAATAGATATAATAAGATTATGTGGCTCGTTTTTTAACTGCAAGTATTGGATCGCTGTTAAATTTTGGCAATGGCAATATAGGTAGGTTTTTTCTATTTGCTTGCACTATGACCTCGGATGCTTGAAATGACCGACTCATGCGGCGCTACTGCTCATCCGCCTTTTTCATATTACTTAAATGAGTAACAATAGTATAATATAAATCGTTAAAATCATTACGAACTTTAATATGATCCTGTTTATTAAATGATTTTATTTAAATGAGCGTTTTCTCAATCTTTGTTTGAAATTTATTGGATTTTCTTTGGTGCGCAGCTTAATAAATAGTTCGTGAGTGAAAATGTTGTTCAGTTGCTGCTGCGAGCTGAAGAATACGATTAAGCTCATCTAGAATCAAATCTCTTTCGAAAATATCTTGTTCACACGGCGATTCGTCGTCCGACATTTTGCGTTACAAAATGGCGGATTAGAATTTTACCACGTACGAGTAAAAGAAATGAGTACGTAATACTGTAAAAATTTTGTTTATAAGACAACAAAAACTCTACGATAAAAATCCGGATCGAATTATCAAAAAACTATGTTATGCGTTAAGTACGATATTCTACTGGGTTTGGCAACTTACCGCTACAATCTCCCTGCAACCACGAATCCAGGGGCTCAGTGCAGTCAATTTAATGATAGCAATATCAAAGTTCATCAGAGAGTATCGCACAAGTGTTCATAGGTCACAAGTAGAATATTTCCAGGGTGAAAGAGATCATGTGAGATGATCTTGAGTAACATGAAAGATATTTGCATGTGTGTGCGTCGGTAGTTTTAACTAGACTGTTTACAATTGCCGTCCATCTATATGGCGCTTGCGTCGCAGAGAGAGCCATAACCAGCAAGATTATGGCTGCATTTAGACTTAAAACAGTTGATCGTCAACCCAGTGAATTCAATATAAATATAGAAAAAATACAATCTTCAAAATTGTGTTGTCATGTACTTATTATACACGAAAGTAGAAACATATAACATAATATATAAATAAATTTGTTCCAGTAAGGAACAATCCTTGAATTGCTTCCCTATTTTGAGCACTCTTAAAGGCGGACTGGTGATTACAAAGCGGATAATGCCGGATAGACCTATAACATATTTGAAGTGAAAGATTGAAAAAATAGGTTATATTTTTTATTATTTATTTCACATCCATCTGCATTAAAAGTTAACAAGTGTTTCAACTTTTACAAAGGCAATAACGATTTTGTCTAATTTATTCTACAATATAGTAAATATTACTAAATACATTATAAATACATACAATAAATACAATGTAAGGATGTTGTTAGTCGTTTAAATAAGTAATTATACAGTTTTCCCTAAGACTAGTCAGGAAATTACAAGGACAATCAAAGAATTTGAAGAGAAAAAGTGGGCTTGATATTTTTACGGGACATGATATCACAGCTATTAAGTTAACTATGTACAATATTAAAATTTAGTCTTAAATAACATTATTACAAAACGATTTTGGGCACACGAGTGCATATGAAGTACGAGTAACTATAATATTTTGGTGTAAAGCTAAAACTTAGGCTAGTGGCAAATCATTCTTATAATTATATACAGTTAAAAACGATGTTTGAATTTATTGAAAGTATCAAAAATGACGCTTTTAATTCTCGTATGTTACACCTCAACTTATTTTACATATTTCAGTTAGTAAAATTAAAATACATACTTCTCATTTTTTTTAGGGTTTTCTGTAAGTATTATTGATAATAATTTGAAATGTTTTTCACAATACAGTACATAATAAATATAACAAATATTATAATACATATATATAGAAAGTTTACCATAATCTTAAGATACCTATTGAAATACAAATTTCCTGGCTATTAATACAATACGTACTTATACATAGAAATTTTAATTAGACTCATCTTACGAAAAAGAAAAAAAACTGTGTACCAAAAAGCGATAATATTTTAATATGTTTATATAAAAAAAAGTAAGAACACATAGTTGACTAAATGGCTAGTCGTCATCGATTCCGATTATAATCTTTATCCTATCTGAATTAACTAGCCCGAAATCATCTTTAACATAAGATAGATCTAAATTGAGATTCATGTCGAAATTTTAATTTCTTGTTAACATTGGATTTATCATTATATTAGCGAGTGCATTTCGTCGCTTACGCCAAGCCCCAGCGCCTTGTGCGTGATACTGTAGCTGTCGATACCAAGTTCTCGTACGAGTGTTTTCATCAGCCTGTAAAAGAAGTAACATGTTATTTAATATTTATATATATAGAAGTAACAAACGGATCTACCTATCTATCCTCCATAAGAAATTGCATATGCGTTGTCACCTATGACTCCTGTACACTTACCACACGAAATACGAGCACAGCTCTTCGCTGATCAGCCAGCTGGAGGCATAATATACTTTGGTGGATCATATTATCATCATCATAGTCATCATCATTATTACAGTCCATCACAAGTCCACTGCTGAACATAAACCTCCCACAAGTAATGCCACAAATCACGTTCCGAGCCTCCTGCATCCATTGACTTCCTGCGTCTCTTACCATTCCCTGTTAATCAATCTCCGAGCCGATTCGTTAATTTGATGGCCATGGATCATTGGGGAAGAAAATTGTCGGTATTACAATTTGCCCCTCACACTGTCCTCCGCGACAGAAACGTGTTCGACAGATATGTTGATGGGCTTTAACAGTCTTAATGGCCGTATTGGTATCGGCATCTCGTGTTTATTTACTTCGTATTTATTTAGTCGATATTTGAGTGACGTACTAGAGTTAATGGGCGGCCAGCGCTAGCGAGGTCTCCGTTAGCATGAATTTTCCACTAAAACTGTCGACGTAGCGCAAAAGCATGTTAGAGCCCAGCACAACCCATCCTTGGCCTCACAAGGTGGCTATGTGCATGGGATTTTGTCACGAAAAGTATAAATGAACAAATCTGTGTTTGCCCGTACAACTGTGGCACCAAAATATGTCATGTGGAGTTGTTAAATTCCAATAGGTAGTGTTTAAAGTAATCTTAACCAAGCTTTGGTCAAACCAGTTAGAACTTTATCATAATTTACACGAAAATGTGAAGGAAAGGGACACTTATAAACATAAATAGAGCAAAATGTGATGCACCTAGGCATTGCTCTATATGAGAATTTCTTATTTCATTAATAATATCGGTCTTGAACTCACCTTAAAAATATATGAATCTTTAGTAGTGATCTCATGTACTTCAAAGAAATGCTCGGGCTCGTGATCAGCGGCAACAACGCAGCGGTCCAGGAACAATGGTTCACGTTGAAGAGTGTATCGCCCGGCTTTCTCTCGAACGAGCAGGAGAGCTGCCTCCCTCACGCCACTACGCGCGAAGAGAGCTTCTCCCTCTTTTTCTCTTGCTTCGCGATCTCTAGCCTCTCTCGTCTCTCGGATCTCGTTCGTTTTGTGAGTAGTCGTTGGCTAGAAATGTGAAAAAAAACTCTTGACTATTTTATAATATTAAACATTCAACAGAAGTAGAAATAGGAATAGAAATATTTTTTATTCAATATAGGTTATAAATAATACTTATTGAAAATCATTCTTGTTTAATTTACCACTGGTTCTGAAAAACCTGTGGCAAGTAAGAAACCCAGTGGGACATATTTCTAAAAAAAACGATGATCATATAGGTATTACGTTACACAATTGACTATTCAAAAAAAATATAAATAGCTTGGTAGGATCACCTCACTCCCATGAGTTATTATTATCCATAATAAAAGTAGTAAAGTCTACGTGGTAGAGCCATGCTGCAACTATATTATGGTTGTAGCACGAATGGGTCGGCTTGTCCGGGGAAGGACCACGCTCTCACAGAAAACCAGCGTAAAATAGCAGCTTAACGCTGCTGTGTTTCGTATAGTGAGTGTAGAGAACCGGAGACCCTTTTTACTGGCAAAGAGGCATTCCATCTTAGTCCTCACGGGTGACAACGCATCTGCATCTTGAGTCTTTATTGAGGATAGATGTAGATGTCTATGGGTCACAGTAACCACTTACCATCAGGTGGACTGTGTGCTCGTTTGTCACCCGATCCTATAAAAAAAAAGTTGTCAAATTATTAATATACAATGATATTGTATTTTTCATATAGAAAACACTGAACTATTTATATTCAATTTTAACGTTATATATTTAAAGCCTTTTTTAATTTTACTCCCTGTATTTTTTACTTTAATATTAACATTGTTTTCTCACTCACCTTTCCGTTAGTAACCAAAAGCGCATTTATCGGCATTAGCTTGATGGTGCGTCCCTTGCGCCAGTTATTATCATTTGGTTGCGTGAACAGCAGTTTGCCTTCCATTGCGAATCTAAGAATGTTTTATAAAATTAATTTAAAATAAATCATTACATCTGATCATAGATTGTTTTCGACGGATATTGCAACATCCGTGAATACTAGCCTAATTTAATACAATGAACCTTTATAGTAAAAATAAAAGTATTTACATCATATCGATTTTTCTGCCGACTTTAAAAAGGAGACGGTACTCAATTCGACTGTATGTTTTTTTTTGGGTGTGTTACCTCATAACATTTTACTGCGTGAACCGATTTCGATGATTCTTTTTTATTTGAAAGCTGGTGCTTCACATGTGGTCCCATATAAATATGATCAAGGCCTAACCAATAGTTTTAGTTATTCTTAATAACTTATATTGAAGTCGGTTTTACAACATTTTAATTTTTAATTGTAACATTCATTACAGCCTAACAACAGTCCACTGCTTAACATTGCCCTCCCCATATACTGCCTGTCGTATATGGGGGGGTTGACAGTCGTTTGTATTTATTATATTCAATTGTTATTAGGAAAATGCTTGCTGCTGTCCCGCTCATCTTTTGTTTCAGTTTTCTCTTGTCACCTCTTATATGGAACTTGATTCAATTTATGATTTTGAAAATTGAAAATTAAAATAGCAATAAAAAAAAACGCTGCTACTTTTAGAATTGTAATTATTTTACATTTTACTTTGTACTTCCTTTCCCTGACAATGATGACGTTATATGGTTTAGTTAGCATGCACACCAAATTTCTGCACAAGGCCACTGCACTTCTGCTCCACGCCTCTCGAGTAGTCCGACCATATGGTGGGACTAAAAGGATGGAATTAAAGAGCTTCTGAAGGACTTCAAGCACCGGTTTTCCACCCGCTTTCAGAAGCTCCGCTATTGTAAATTCCATCCTCGCCTGGAGCCTTGCCGTTTTAAGGTCCTGGAGAGTCATTTTAATATCACTCAGACTGATGTCCGGGGTATCATTTAAATAGTGTCGGATAAGATTTGCTCTTGGATCGCTTCTTACACTAGCGTGTGACTCCGAAGATGATAGAACATAGAACTGCTGCCCATAGAACCTTTCAATCTCACTTAAAATCTCAGACGTCCCGAAAACCATGGCAACACACTCGGTCTTCAGTTATGAAGAACATGATGAACAACTTAAGATAAACATGGACAAAATAAAGATCGTATTAATGTCAAAGGTAGGTAAGGTGTTAGGAACGCTAATCTCGAAGTTGTGACAAGTATATTTACTTGGGACATATAGTTTCACTAGGTAAGTTCAACTTCGGCGAGGAGGTCAATCGACGGATTCAAAGCGTTCGGGAAATTACGACACATCTAATCTAGTTTACTTTAAAACATGAAAACGAGATTGTACAACCAGTGCATGTTACCAGTGATGACCTATGGAACTGAGACGTGGTCCTTCACTGCTGGTCGTATGAGGACGCTCAAGGTCTCTCAGGAGATGGCTATGCTCGGGGTTTCTTTGCGCGATAGACTTCGAAATTAGGATATCTGCAGTAGAGATTAGCTCAACAGATTAGTAAGCTGAAGTGGCAGTGGGCCAGCCATATAGCTCGAAGAATCAACAACCGATGGGGAAAAAAGGTAGGCGAAGTTTACACTTCGGGTGGTTCTCCCTACGGAGACACCCCCCCCCCCCCAATAGATGGAGTGACGATCTGGTAAGACATGCAGTAAGTCAATGGATGCAAGTGGCTGAAGACCGTGCTTTGTGGCATTCCTTGGGGGAGGCCTATGTTCAGCAATACACTTGAGAATGGCTGTAATGAAGATGACAATAGTTAAGTAAAATTTTTTATTGAAAGATATTTTTTTACATCCACATTATGACGCCATAACCTTATTTATAACAATTTAAGATTAATTAAATTTTGGCATCTACACTCTTTGGCAACTCAGTGTTAAGAGCTCCGGGTAAATTTTACAATACGAAATCAACCCGGGATCGACTCCAGCCAGCGGCAATCAAACTCTTCATTGCAAATTTTTGTGCTCATTTATTACGTGCTTGGCGGCGAATTTAAGCATTTTGAGGAAACCTGCATATCTAAGGTATAAATGACTATTAAAATGTTTTGAAGATAACACGTGAAGTCCACAAACACGCACTGGAGCAATGTAGCGAACGAAATGCACGCCATAACTCTTTAAGAAATGAAAGGAACAGGCTTCAAGCACAGTTGTGAGACTAATGTAGGATTAATATATACTTTTACATTTTAGACATTTTATTATTTATTTATTAAGGAATGAAAAAAAATGAAGATTTCAATCATACCTAGCATCATCATGATTCCAGTCTAAGACATCAACCGCCATCTTTCTTAGCCGTATATCAGCTACATGTAAATCATGAGCTGTACGTCTAGCAGCTGCTAATCTTCTCCACAATGGCACATCCCTTGCCGCCGCAGCTGCTGCTGCCGCGGCCGCATTAATTTCTTCAAGTCTAGACTCTACGCAGCGCTGAGCCCCTCGCACATCTTCTCTTTCGGATGCACATGATGCCGTTGCACGATATAACCTTGAGAGGAGAAGAGGATATTTGGTCACGCGTTGAACTGGCACCTGAAAATTTTAATTTAACATTTACAAAATGCCAACATTTATAACAAAAATTTTAATTTAATATTTGCCCAGTTCTATATTGGTATACAACTGAGAAAGTAATGACAGTTGACCATAAGTAGGATATATACGGGAAAAGATGGGAAATATTAGAGTTTCAAGTAATTAGGTTTAAGTAGATTTTTTAAGGAAGAAAAGGACTGCTATAATTTCTAATACGATGAAATTTATTTAAATTTTTACTAAATGTAACCTGTGCTTGATTACTATCCCACCCGGGATAACACAATACAATTTCACCATAAGTGCAGCAAAACGCAATGTCTTAGCGTAACAAAAGCTCTTTCTTGGATACACTGGCTTTCAACACACCCGGATTGTAATCGGATGAAAGGAAAGACCTCGTAAATATTCAAATTCTTTGCTGTACGCATTATAAATTGAAAGCAAACCGTTTGGTTCGATGGCGTGAAATATTGGCAACAAAAGGGTGACCTGATATCCGAATGGTTCTACAATTGTGGGAAGGGGAGGCAGGAATTAAATCATGTAATTCCTGCACACATTCTCGATAATGTATCCTATACAATATCAAGAGAATAGCTACGCTGAGCTTGAGTTTTTTTTTTATTTATTTTCATCTAAGTCATTCACTCCAAATTTCATTCAAGAAAACCTAATGGATGAAAAGATAATTTTGTATATAACTTGTATCCTTACCATAAGAAATGAATTCAAATTCATTCGCCTCAAAACTGTATTCTCCATTTGCGAGACGCGTAAAAATATCCTTAGGAGTTCTTTTTCCTTTTCAAGGCCTGCTAGAAGTAATGCCGCACCCGCTTGCTTTACACAATATGATTGGAACGCTGTCAGCATACCAGAGCAATCCAAGAGAATCTTCCCAACGTTAACCGTCAGCAAGTCCTGTGAATTCATTAGCAGTCAATTTAATTATTTTATCATATTAAAATAAACTACTTAGGCGAGTTTATACAGTAAAAATGTATTTTAACTTAATATCTGAAATGAACGGTAATACAGAGGTAAATTTATTAAAAAAATTAGGTACAATAGGAATTTGTATCCAATCGCTAGTAAGATTTTAAAATAATGTTCAAAACTGTTCAACGTTGAATGAGGCCCACGCTTAAGGTATTTTATTGTATTAATTATAAATTTTTGCATCGAATATGGAACGGATATTACTATTTTTTTTAGTTATTATACGAATGAATTGTAAAGAACATCATCCTTTCAGAAAAACTTTAACTTTCACTTTATTTTAACAAATATGTGCTCTGTATAGAATAAAATCCAATTAGGTAATTTATTGCTCAGGCAAATCAACCAACAGCCACGCAGTTGTCAATAAAGATTCATTATTATAAGAAAGACAAGAAAATTGACGTTGAACATTTTAAAGTTGCCTATGGCTTGATAATTAAATATGCACATAAATAAATATAAGATTTAATAAAATTGAATGAAATAAATTCTATTTTAATAAATAAATACCTCGTCACCCTGTTCGACTGCTATTTCAAGTGCATCTCTAAGTTTTTCTGATAGCACTTGATTATTTTCTATTAACTCTTCTACGTTTAAAAAAATAGCACTTAATTGCTCTTGAGTCAGAAGGCCAGCTACTAACATTGGTTTGTAAAACTCTTCTAGAATGATTTGAAGGTCTCTTCCATATTTTTCTTCAGTTTCCACAATCTCTGTAATGATTTCCTTTCTCTCTGTTCTCTTTTTGGCACACTTTCGACATACTAAGGGAGCATACACTGAACCTAAAATGTAAGGATAATAATTAATTTTAAATATTTTACACTTATAGTATGAAATCTTTAGTTGATATAAGCATAATTTCTTACCTTGCTCAGTGACTTGCGTTTCCACAGCAGTGTCACAATCTTCACAAATATGAATGGGTGCGTTTTTCTCTGTAAGAGTATTACATGGTGAAATCTTTCCTTGAAGTCTGCTTCTAGATGATTTACTTGTCTCAGAACCAACGCCGGAATCATTTCTTTCAATTTCTGCTGATGTTCTTTTACACACAACGGGTTTTTCTAACGCTTCATGATTAATTATCAATGAATTGTCTTCACTAGAATCAGATGAGCTTGACAACTGACTTGTGTTACTACTCAAATGATTTTTTACTAATTCACTATCCTTTTTATCTTTTGACTCTTCAACTAATGCGGATGAATCACTTTCATTGCCGTAACTAGTTATATAAGTATCTTCATCATCAATACCCCTTTCTTTAGCATCTACCAAATACGACAAGATGTCGTATTTAGATGCTCCTTCAAAAATTGAACGCGACCCGCTACGTTTTTCATCTTCATGTGTCAAAAGTGAATTGGGAGGTGGATTGACGGGTAAAGGTGGTGGCATATCTCCAATTTCTTCATAAATTGGGTCAGTATTTAACCGAATTGACTCATAAAGGTGATCATCATCTGTAGTGTTTGAAATTTCAATATCACATAAAGCAGCGTCTACTAACATTTGATAAAATTTGGATCTAGTTGAGTTTGTATCATCTTCAGTAGATAGCTCACTTGCTGAAGCATTGTAACAGTCTGACATTGGTTCTAGGTCAGAAAAAACTCCCATTGTACCACTCTCATACTCCATACTTTCATAAGGAGCAGAGCAGCCATTGTCGTCATTATCTGGTCCAGTTGTGTTAACTTCCTCTTTGTTAGAAATAATTTCACTCTTTTTCGGTGTTTCGTTTTTAGAATCCCTTGAAAGGTCGCTTTTCATATTCTTAAGAGAACTTTCAATAAGCTTTTCAATAGTTGCTTTGCTACTATCAGTTCCTTCCTTATTTTTTGTTTCCTGGAGTTTTATTAACGAGTTTTCAATAAGCTTTTTGACTAACTCTGTATCTAGCCCTTCCGCCAAGTGACCGAAGAAAGGATCGTTAAATAATTTTGTTACAAAGCTTCCGTTTTCACCTTCATTTTCTGTAACATTGTCGCTATTTTCCTGTTTTGTATTGTTAGAATTTTCTAATGTATCATAAGGTTTACCACATACGTGAGGAATTAAATTTCTTTTAACTGCTTCTACAGGGTCACTCAATATTGACGACATATCATTTATATTACTGTCTTTTAAAGGACTTGTTATTTCATAGTTTTTATTAGAATCACTACAAATATCTTCATATGTGTTGGGCTCTTCTTTATTTTTTTCTATATCAGAAAAGATGGCTCCAATATAAATCTGACTTTTAGATTTTTTCATTTCTTTTTGTGGGCTTCCAACACTGATAGTTACAGTAGTACCTGTTTGATATGTATTGCAAGTATTTCCATAATCGTCGTTTACAACAACTGATGATAAATAAATTGGAGTGTCGTTGCCTACGTTCATTGTAGAATAACACTCACTTCCATTTATTTGTATGGAAGTCTTTTTGGGTTCGTTATCTACAATGTGCAAAAGCTTTTTGTTTTCACTTCGGTCATCTGCTTCATCAGAATCAAATTGTTTAACCCTCAAAACAGTTTTCTGTTCAAATTCATTTGCATCGGACCACTCATCGCTCGTTGAACTCGAAGAGTTAGTTCTAATAAAACGAGTTTTTACATAGTTCTGTTTTTTTGATTTACTACGATCTTTTGATTTTAATCTGGGTGGTGGTTCTGGTGAGGTTGATAAACCATGTCTTAAGTTTTTTAAAACCTTGCTTGTGATTTCACTACTGTCACTCAAATTTTCATGTTCTTCATCATCTTTGGAATAATGTTGAGACTCCAATTCATTATTTGTTTCTTGCGTTACTGAGAAATTAATTTCATTTTCCAAATTTTTTTCACTGACAGATTTAAAAAATACTTGACTTGTATGTCCATACTTTGGTTTAGTACGCAAAGCCATAGTGTCTAAAAATTTCGGCGGTGAGATAGATAAAATGGAGCTCAGTCTTTCAGATTCGGATCGTCGCAGTACTGGTATTTTAGGTATATTATTATCTGTGAAAATAAAAAGATAAAATTATTACATGAATTAAAACCGACCGAGTAATGACGGTGTTAGAATGTTTACTACTCCGTATCATCTCGTGGTGAAAAAGGAACTCAACTAAAAATAAGAAACTACAGTTACCAACTCGCCTGCCTAACGAGGCAACAATGGCAAATATTACCCCAATAAATCAATCTATGGGAGTGGTTTATGATCAGCAGTGAACTTTTAAAAGGCTACAACTATAACAGTATGAATATATAGAAATGTATTTAATTATGAATGAATTACATAATAAAATCTTACCTTCTGTTTTAAGGTTATGGGTATTATTAGCATCATTGGTTGTTAAAATATTCTCGCCGTTTTCTTGAATAATGGATTTGCTATTATCTTCTTTATTTAAACTCTCCGATTCTATAACAGTTTCATTATTTTCAATTTGTTGTGATAGTGCTTCAAGGGCCTTTACATCATTTATTTCATTTAAGCTATGGCTAACAATATCACCTTCGGCAATCACTTCTTCGTGTTCACTATGAAAACTTTCAGAGTTATTACTTACAATGTTATCGTGTAAATTTAATTCCGCAGTGTAAATTACTTTAGTTTCTTCGTTTTCTACTAAGAATTGTACGCGTTTCCTGTGTATTATATTTTGAGGTGAGATCAATCCTTTATCGTTAGGTTTAGGAAGATAAAATTGTGAAGAGTTTGTACGCTTACTATCATATGAATCATCTGCCGTCTCAGTTTTAGTGTTTGAATCATGTCCGTTGTAATTCTTAGGTTTTTTAAGGATAGATTTAATAGGATCATTGTTTAGATTCTTATATTTAGAATTACGAGACGACTCATACGTTATTTTTCTATTACAATTTCTCTCTGGTAATTTCTGATTATCACTTTCACTATCGTCCTCTATTTTGATACTTCTATTTCTTCTCGGTGGACGTTTGGGAGAAACACTTTTGGGCTTTGTACGACTTGAGGTGGATATATTTAATATTTTTTTACTGCTATTCTTACTTAATGATACAAATTTTTTGCTTTCATTTTTAATATTTGGTAAAGACAAAGTTGAGGATACATCTTGAGATTTAGATTGACAGTTTTTGAGATCATCGTCGAGTTTATATGCGGATGTTTCTTCGTTACTGATTTTGGTCTCATTTGAAACTCGTATTCGTTGTCCACTTATAGCTTTTACGTTAGAGTCGGACTTTGAATGTCTTATTTCTTTAAAAATTTTATTTTTTAATGACTCTTGAAACACATCTCCAAAGTCGTCATCGAATTCGATTTCAGCCAACGATTTTGAGCTAACGCTCGACTTTACTAAGTCATATGGATTGATGTCACATGATAATATTGATTTTTTATACTCATTAGTGTTAGCATCTTCATCAACCCATATTTCATTGACGCGACTTACGGATTTACTTCTACTTTTTCCAAAAGTTTCTGGAACTACATTTTTATTTTTAATTCTACAAGGACTGATACTTTTAGCTCTAGATCGTGTTGTAGAAAATTGACTGCCAATTCGTGTTTCATGAGGCGGTGCTAGACGACTTCTTCTCATTAAGTCATATGGATCAGCGGGGTCTCCATTCGACTTAAGTATACTAGGTCTTGCTTTAGTATTTTGCACTCGGACTGTCCCAGCCCTTAATAAACCAGTGTCTCGACTAACTTGATGGCCTCTCACAGTTCCGCCTACTAACATTCGGGGGCTTTCAGCAATTGTTAATGGCAAACGCGATCCTTTACATTTTTTACATATACTGACTTTGGTTGAGTTGGTTTTTTTGGTACCATTTAAGTACTCAGGACAGGAACATAGTATAACTGCATAGTTATGAGGAGTTGGTTTTTGTGGCGTACTAATAAGTACAGGGCCTGAAACTTCAGGGTAAGTGGAAAAGACGCTGGGTCTAACGGGAGATGTTGGAGTCCTTACTGAACCATACAGCCACGTTTCGGCATATTTCATAGATTTTGACAGTGCAGATACCGGCGGGCCATTTACAGTGCCGTACATATATGGACTTTCGGGAGATTTCTCTGATGATTTAGAGCTCCCTGATGTGTTCAGCTTTAGTTTTGATGACCATTTCTTTGGCCGCGTATTCTCTGGTGTTTCGTATATCTGAAAAATTAAAAAAAAAACTATAAGTTTACTTGTTATTTATTTGATTTTACTAATATTTACTAGTTTTTTATACGTGTTAGAACTATGCTGCAGTTACATATATTTATGGTTGTAGCAAGAATGGGTTGGCTCGACCGGGGAAGGACCACGCTCTCAAATAATACCAGCGTAAAATTGCAGCTTAACGCTGCTGTGTTTCTTACGGTGAGTATAGAGAACCGGAGACCCTTTTTACTGGTAATGAGGCATTCCATCTTAGTCCTCACAGGTGACAACGCATCTGCTTTTTTATTCGTAATCGAAGATAAATGTAGACATCTATGGGCCACAACAACCACTTACCATCAGGTGGACTGTGTCCTCGTTTGTCGCCGTTATCCTATAAAAAAGTCATTAAAAACTATGTAATGTATTAATTTATTTGCCACTTTTGCTAATAATAACAAGAGTGGCAAATAAAAGCTTAACTAAAGTGAATACTCTGCTCATGTACAACTGCATCTAACTTGGCTAAAGTGTCTAAGTAAAAGTAAGATTGCGTTTTTTATAATACATTATTAGGGAAAATGCCCAATGCAAAGCTAAGACGAGCCACTTAAATTCAGAAATTTGCCGCAGATAAACTTAGAACTTAGTAGACGTATTTGTGTCACTGCATAGTGGTTTGTAATTAGAAACGTAGTCTCGTATAACTCAACTAGCATTCGATATCTCTGGCCTTACTTACGCTTCCCAATGACAAAACTATGTAAGGTTAAAAAATATCGTCTTAGCTATTACAGTAGAATAATTTTTGAAGCTTAGTTATTATAAACGTTTATTAAAAACCTAATGAAATACAGCCATTAAAAAAAAAACAATAAACTTCACTTCCGATAGCAGTTCTTAGCGGCGTAATACGTTTTAGAGCTATAGAATCTACTTCATGATTTTGCGTCTCAATAATCTGTTTTACAAAAAACGTAAATGAAGTAAGTAAGTCTCATACGTTTCAGTACTAGGCATAGAAATATATATATAACACTAATGAAATGGTTTTGATAAATTTCATAAGCCTTAGTGTATTATGAATGTCTTGAACATCATGTTTTGCTTCACCGGCAACCACGTGATAAATCAGCACATTAAATTACGAACAACGAAAAATGTCACGTATATTATAGAATTGAACTTGATTTGCTAGTGCTCTGATTTACCCGAAGGATTTTTTCTGAACTACGTGAATATGGCTCTTTTTTATTGATATTAAACTGACAGCCCTTTGGACAGATCTTTGAGTTAAAACTGATTTTTATCACAAACTTCCATCGGCGTATGTAGAAACTGGATGTATATAACCTAACCTAACCTTATCCTCCCATTTCGCCTCCTTGGTGTCGTAATAGTTACTATAAGAAATGTCTAAGAAATGGCTAGACGTAAAATGGAAGTGTGTTATATCCGATACTCTAATCGTCAATTCTTCTGCCAAGCGTGACGATTAAAGCAAACCCTCTCTCTACGACGGGAGAGGTCAATTTTCAAGATAGGCTGACAAAGAAGAAACTCGTCGCTAAGTCATGCACGACTGTCGCCTCCATGGGTCACCGCCGCTGACCACCCTGCCCTGATTCACCTCCACAGCTCCAAGGATACCTTGCTCGGCGGGAGATCTCCCCTTTTCCTTCCACGGTCAAACGCGTCAATAGTTATAATTTGATTCAGTAAACACAATTAATGGCGTTAGTATAAAAACCAACCTTTTAATTAATGCTGTCGATCTTTACCTTACATTATGACTAATTTTGTTAAATAATTTTATAGTCTTGCCTAAACTAATTATGGTAAGCGTGAAGACAAAAAATCATCAATATCAGTCATCATTACAGCCCAAAACAAGCACACTGTAAAACATAGGTCTCTTTTCATTTATTTTACTTTTTTTTTTTTTATCTTCACGCACAATCCCTGACGGGGTAGCCAGAGAGAACAGATCGCCAAGTGTCACATTATTTATTTTACTATATTATTTATTTTAATATATATTTTATTATTAGAGTAAAAATGTATTTTTCTCATCTGGTAGAGCGGCATAAATATATAAAAGAAAATTGTATAATGTTAAGCATAGTAAAATAAACTTTAAAAAATACATAAATTAATAAAAAAACAACCAGATGGAAGCACTTGACAGGGGATTAGCCCGTTTGCAGAAGCAACTACAGGTAAAATATCTGTTCGCAGATCACCACACATGTCGGTCACCTCGTGAGCCAGGCTCGGATATTTTGTTCGCTTATCTGTTTCGACTTTCTCGAGGTTCTTGTCATAGGAAATGGTAATGGTAGTCTAGGATTGGGGGCGAATAAATCTAGTCCAGTTCAATCCCCAGAAGACACAAGTTTGCGCGTTTACCGCTAAAAGGAAAACCTTTGTCGTGTCTCCTCAGTTACAAGGCACTCCCCTTATTGCCTCAGCCAGTATCGGAATCCTCGGCGTCCGCATATCGAGTGACGTGCAGTTTCGTGGTCACTTGGAAGAGAAAGCCAAATTGGCTTCTAAAAAGCTTGGCGTGCTCAGCAGAGCGGGACAGTATTTCATGCCGGCACACCGCCTGCAACTTTTTAAGGTGCAGGTTTGGCCTCACATGGAATACTGTTCCCATCTCTGGGCAGGGACTTCCCAGTGCCAGCACCGTCCATTTAACCGCATCCAGCACAGATCGGTTCGAATAGTCAGCGACCGAGTTTTTTCCGATAGGCTTGACGCACTGGCACTGCGTAGAGAACAGATGTATGTATGGTATATGCGATAAAATACACAAAGAGATGCACTCTTTGTGTATTTCATCGCATGTACCATGGGGAGTACTCTGAGGAATTGTTCAGACTAATTACAGCCGCTCAATTTCACCATCGCACATAGCGACAAAACTCGCGATACCATCCATACCATCTGGAAGATTGGTGGTCTACCACTGTGCGATTTAGAACATGTTTTCTTCCTCGCATAACTTCCCTATGGAATCGATTACCACCAGTGATTTTTCCGGACCGGTACGACTTAGGGACCTTCAAGAAAAGAGCCTACTCTTTTTTAAAGGCCGGCAACGCATCTGCGATTCCCCTGATGTTACATGTTCATGGGCGGCGGTAGCCACTTACCATCAGGTGAGCCGCATGCTCGTTTGCCCCCTGTCCTATAAAAAAAGTGCAACTTGATAAATCTGAGTTTTTGCGGAAAGAAGTCCTCTATCTAGGTCATAGTATTACTAAGGCCGAACGATGATAAATTAAAGGCAATAATTAATCACCCACTTACCAATACAATTACCGAAAAATACCACCGAAATAAAATGTTTCTTGATTATTACCGCCGTTTCATTGGGGATTTCGCAAAAATAACCCAACCACTTACCGCTTGCTTAAAGAAACGGAATGAAATAATTATTGAAAAATCGTATACAGAATCTTTCGAAAAATGTAAAAAATTTCTTATTAATGCGCCTCTTTTACAATATCCAGACCCATCTACATCCTGCAATGCAGTTCCCCTGGTGTTACATGTTCATGGGCGGCGGTAGTCACTTACAATCAAGTGAGCCGCATGCTCGTTTGCCCCCTCTCCTATAAAAAAAAATAAAAAAATGTCTACCAAAAATACCCATGCAGTAATGGATATTTTTGTCCGGTCCATCAGCACGAGATCAAGCTTATTCACAAGAATAATTCTGTCTGTGATATGGCCCGGCCTTTTTATAGCATGGCGCGGTAATTTTCTAGCACGGCTTCCGGCAAGTACTTGTAATAAGGCAATTTCCGATCCAACCGTATTTCACCGTATTTCAGAGCGAGCTCCTAGTGTAAAATCCTGGCTACTAGGTTGTGTTTGTGCAAGTACTCAGAGTTAGAAAGCGCCGAAGAACCGGAGATGACATACCTAAGTGACCCGCCGGGATGGCGACAAGCTCGACAGATGTCGATGATGCCAACCTTTACGTTGTATCTCCGACAGTTGTTGGTAGTAAAAACTATTTTAATAAATGGGTACTTATATTATTAATTATAATTATAATTATAAAAATTTAAATTAAAAACTAAACTAATTATTTTAGTTTTTTCAGTATTCAAAATCTAAAAATTAACTTTTATATTAAATAGTTTAAACTTAAAACATCAAATTTTACACCGCTTTTAAAAACTTCAAACTTCACCGCAGGCATAAACACACAAAGACTATGCTTCCGAATCTTGTGGAAAACTTTCCGATTTAACAGCGAGCGAAAATGTATCGGTATTTTTCTTTATAAACTCGGTAACAAGATCGTTGAAAGAAACTTTCTTAAAAGGTTGTGCGATGCTACTTCAGATGGGGGTGAAAAAACTTAGCACTACCACTTCAACTACGACGTCCATTCAAAAACTGCATAAAAAAAATGAAACTGACTTTGGTATCTGGACTTGGGACATAAATATATGGGATAAAATTATATCAAGATCAATAATTGAAGTTCGAGCTGATTCAACAATTTACGAAAATATCTCCAAAAATAATAATTAAATTGAAGTGTACACGTGAAAATACATAAACACTCACGCCCGTCACACAGAGAGGTAGGCAGAGGCTACGTACTTCCATTTGGGATGATTCTGACACACCTCTCTCGTCTTCTGCCTCGCCGTGCATATACATACCTACTTACACATACATACATGCTGATAACATAAATAAATAAATAAAATATTTCTTGGTAATATTAAAATAATAAATCCTTGTTCTTAAAAGTATTTAGTTTATTAATAAATATAATCTATACATATAATTTGTTAAAATAAACATTATCAACATGATATTTAGAAAAAATATAGTATGTTCGACTACGGCAATAACTTTTGAATCCTATCGGAAGTTGCAAAAGTTATAGTACATAATTACAGTGCTAGAAATGTAGGGGCACATATAGAACACTCGTTCAACCTAATCTATATAAAGATACATTAAAAACACGCGGACAAGCA